CTTGGCAGGGGCGGCCGCGAGCCGGGCGCACTCCGCGACCCGCCGACGTGCGGGCGCCGCCGGGGGCGCCGCCGGAGACGCCGCCGTGCGTGTCCGCCAGTGACACGCGGTGCTCGACGCTCGCTCTGGCCACCGAACTGCTTTTTTCTCGTTTGCCGTGCGCGCTGGTGGGGGCGACGGCGACGAGGGGCAAGAGGTGACAGACGGGGCGGGGCGGGAATTTTGTAAGACGTCCAGAGTGGAGAGCAGCCCCCATCCTGAGTTGCCGTCTCGCCTCCCCCCCGCCTTCTCCTTCCCCTCCCCCGCCCGGTCCCTCCGTCCCCCCCACCCCCGCACTCCGGGTGGCCGCCAGCGCCGCAGCCCCGCGGGTTCCGCACGAGACGGAGGCGACCAGAGCCCGCAACACAGTCCACTGGGGTGGCTTTCGGCGTGTCTGCGTGACCCCCTACCACTAAAGTGAAGTGCAGTCAAGAATCACCAGTCCTAGGCAAAGGGTACTAATGTCAGGTGAGTGGGGCAGGGGTGGGAGTCAGCATACGGATCTGGAGGCTTCAGGGATGTCTTGCACGAGATAGAAAGCCCCGAGCCGCTGACAGCCATCGTCACAGAAACCACCCGTCTCCTTATGTCAACATTTTATCCCAAAAGTACTTGAGTAAAATGTATTGAAGCAATCGGAGAGGCTGCAGGCAAGAGGACGGTTTTCAAGAATAGAAAGAAAATAAACTTAAGGTGGGTCCTCGCTTCTGATGCGAAGTCGTCAATCTTAATGGATGTCCCTGGATTTAAAGTTAAGAAGTGGGAATATTAAGTTATATTAAGATGGGGCAAGTAAAATCGTGTGTAACCCCGATCTACTCTGATTTTTAAAAATTTTTTAATAAAAGACATATCTGAAACATTCTCAGGAATTGGAAACTGCTGAATGTCTTACATCCAGTAGTATCTAGTTCTACCTCATTCTATTTTTGTGCTTTGGAGCTTATTCTGCCATTCTTTTTACTTTAAAATTGGAAGACCATTCACTCAGGTTTACCTTCTTTCTAAAGAACTCTCTTGCTTAACCTTGCCTTTTTTCTTCTACTTCCCAACAGACGTTTTAGTCCAGCCCCGAATATCCCTTCTCAGCACGATTCCGGACCTCATTGGAGCAGTTTGCAGCCAGTCTCCTCTCACTATTAACTTCCATTTTCTGCTGTAGTCCTTAAAGGGACAGAAGTTACCCTTCTTAGAAGTAACTTTTCCCAACGAATCAAATGGCTGTTATACAGCGATTGAAGTATTTGTATATGTGTGTGCAAAAATAAATATGTATATAATGTGTAGTTCATTTCCATTGTTCTGCTTCTCTTTCTAAAAATAAGATTCCCCCCTCAACTTTAGATGAATCTTTCAACAACACATTGAAGTATGGAACTATCTTTGTATATGTAGTTTTTTTTTGCTTAATGTGAACCACAGTTTCCTCAAGGCGTTCCATTCCTGTTCTAGGATCGTCACAGAGATAAAGATTAGGTTTAATAAATAGGTGTATTGCCATTGAAATTTTTTTTTTTTTTTTTTTGAGTTGAAGTCTCACTCTGTCGCCCAGACTGGAGTGCAGTGGCCGCTCCCGGCCACCACAGCCTCGACCTGTTGGGCTCCGGCGATCCTTCCGCCTCACCTTCCGAGTAGCCGGAATTACAGGCATGCGCTACCACGCCTGGCTGATTTTTTGATTTATTGTAGAGATGAGGTCTCGCTGCCCAGTCGGGTCTCGAACCCACGGGTTCAGGCAATCCACTCACCCCAGCCTCCCAAAGGCGCAGGATTACAGGCTGAGCCACCGAGCCCGGCTTGAAATTTTTTTATCCTTAAGAGAAATTATCATCTGAATGATCAAGTTGGAAATGATTTTTCTTCTTGGTGATGTTTTATGAAAATAGGAGCTTACGATATTCCTCTTCTATGGCTGCAATTGCATTTTCTTGTCCTGCATTAATGACCCCCCCATACTTAATAACACACGACATAGCCATTCACACATGTTACCTAATAAAAGCAAAGAGGGTCAGCACTGTTATAACTTGAGGACAGCAAAGCTACCTAATTCAGAAGCCTACATGCAGGGGGATAAAAGATTGTCTAAGGCCCAACTAGAGGAAAAAGTTATGTTAAAACTTCAGCTGGGTTTAATTTATGGAATGTGGTTACTGGAAAATTATTTTGTGTTGGTGTTTTTTTCCATGACCCTGAAACATAACTTGCCCACCCCCTAATAATTCCTGCTTATCTTGTGGCTGTAAAATAAGTTTCTCCAGGAAAGAGGAGGTAATGCAAACATGTGCTCGTGGATTTTAAATTGGAATTAACCTTAAATCTCCTTGGGTTATGGAATTTTTCTTTTCTGGATTTCATTCAATTGAGTGTTAGTTAAAAAACCTCTCTTTTAAAATACTGTAAACTGGTTAAAATATTTTAAAAAGCCAACTAAGAAAGAATGCTACAAACCTAAATTGGAAGCCAATATTTAAAACAAAAAAAAATTTTTTTGAGTCAGGATCTCTATTGCCTAGTCTCAAGTGCCGTGGGCATAATCACGTCTCACCACAGCCCCAGCTTCCTGGGCTCAGGCGATCCTTTCGCCTCAGCCTCCTCAGTAGCTGGGATTACAGGCACACACTACCATGCCTGGAGTGCAGTAGTGCAGTGATTATGTCTCACTGTGGCCTCAAACTTGTGGACTTAGGTGATCCTCCCACCTCAACCTCCCGAATAGCTGAGGCTACAGGTTTGTGCCATCATGCCTAGCTATTTAAAAAAATTTTTTTGTAGTGACAGAGTCTCACTGTGTTGCCCAGACTTTTCTCAAACTCCTGGGCTCAAGTGATTCTCCCACCTTGGCTTCCCAAAGTGCTGGAATTACAGATGTGAGCCACCACACCTGGCCTAGTATTAAAATTATCCTACTAGGACCAAAACAGAGGAGTTGGGGCTCCCTCCCTCACAGTGTGGAAGCTGCACCAAGCCAGAGGAGTCAACTAGAAGAAAAAGGTTGGGATGGGTTTTTGAAGATAGAGTACAATCTGGGCTCTGCTATTTAGTAGTTTCTAGCTACTTAATCTCACTAAGGATTGATTTCCTTACATGTAAAATGAGGGGAAATAATTACTTCATAGAGTTCTTCTGAAAATTAAATGCAAAAAAATATGTAATGCACTGTACACATAATGAAATCTTCCTTGGTGTGCACCAGGATTCCATCATCTGACAAACTGTGTGATCGTGGAGCAAGTTAACCTCTCTGTGCTGCAGTCTCAACATCAGTTAACTGGGATGACAGTAATTCTTACTCCATGAATTATTGTAAGCATCACATGGGATAATACATAGAAAGCACTTTTTATTTTTATATTTTGAGTCGGGTTCTTACTCTGTCATGCAGGCTAGGGTGCAGTGGCACAATCACAGCTCACTGCAGCCTCAACCTCCTGGGCCCAGGTGATCCTTCCACCTCAGCCTCCCAAGTAACTGGAATTACAAGCATGTGCCACCATCCCTGGTTAATTTATTATTATTATTTTGTAGACATGAGGTCTTGCTATGTTGCCCAGGCTGGTCTTGAACTACTGGGCTCAAGCAGTCCTCCTGCCTCGGCTTCCCAAAATGTTGGGATTACAGGCATGGGCCACTGCGCCCAGCAGAAAAGCAATTTTTAAAGTGCCTGGCACACAGAATATGCCCAATGAATGTTAACTATTACTATTTGTGTTTTTAAAAAAATAGAGCTTTTTATATCTTCATATCTCCTCCTGTCCCTTGGCAGCACAGAGAATGGAAAGTTGGAGGGAAATTTAAAAAGTTAACAAAAACCTGAAAAGGAACGGGAATTCCTATGGCTATAGAATAAATTCCTTTTTACCTCATCCAAGGAGGATCTTACAACACAGGTCCCCAAGTGACCAGAAACTATAACTGTGACATTTTCTACACTAACAGCTTGAAGTGTCCCAGTGCAGATAAAATCACTAAATAACTAGATGTTTGCTGGTTTTATTTTTAACAGAGTTAGTGAGATTATAATGACCTGAACATGCTACTATAATTTGTGCCCTGATCATGACAGCTCAAATTCCAAAACCACAAGTATCTCCAGAAATAACTCTTAACTGTATAACCCTGGGCTTTAAGCTGTCTCCTGAAATGTTCTTTAAATGATGATGTCTAATTCAGCTGAAGGCTAATTGATTTTAATTTATCTTGTTTGTCTTTTTTCCTGGAATCCCCTGAGACTTTACAGTCTTTGATGTATCCATTCACTAAATATGTTTGAGATGCTACCATGTGCAAGGCCTTTGATGGAATCTATAAGTAAAACAGCTCCTGTTCTCAGGAATCTAAAGTTTATTAGCTAAGATATGTGAAAATCTATAATATGGAGAAGAGAATTAAAAAAAAAAAAAAGAAAGTAGGCCGAGCATGGTAGCTCATGCCTGCAATTCCACCACTTTGGGAGGCTGAGGTGAGAGGATTGCTTAAGTCCAAGAGTTCAAGACCAGCCTAGGCAACACAGTGAGACTTTGTTGCTACAAAAAAAATTTTGAAAAACAAAATTAGCCAGACATGGTGGCATGCACCGGTAGTCCCAGCTACTCAGGAGGCTGAAGTAGAAGGGTCACCTGAGCCCAGGCAGTCAAGGTTTCAAGTGAGACCCCGACTCAAAAAAAAGTAGGAGACAAAATATCAGAGAAGTATCAGATAAACCCTTGATGTCGGGGAGGCTAAATGCATGGAAAAGGATTTTAGCTGGGACTTGAAGAAAGAGTAGGGATTAGGAAGTACCAGAGAGAGGAATGAGAGAAAACAAAAATTCTACGTGTGCACAAAGCATGGATATGGAAGTATAGGGTGCATCTGTGGACCAAATAGTTCAGTTGGCTGAACCACAGTATATATTTTTTTCTCACACAATTACTAAACATTGAGATATATTTCACAAACTATAAAATGTACCTTTCAGAAGCATAAGATTGACTGGTTTTTAGTATATTCACAAAGTGATGCAACAAGATCGCTGTCTAATTTCAGAACATTTTCATCACCTCCAAAAAAGAAACCTATCAGCAGACACTCCCCATCAGCCCCAGAAGTGGCGGTCCCACCCAGAGGGCTCTGCTGGGAGCCCTCAGACAAGAGTCCCAGATCCTTGCAATTAGAAACCCCTGGGTGGCCAAGCATGGCAACAGTGAGTGTGGAGGGGAACCTGGCAAGGCATTTGCTGCATCTTCTATATGACTGTAACCTCCATCTTACAAATCTGTATCTCTAGCCTTGACTCTTTCTCTGACTACCTGAATGTCCCACAGAAAGATCACAAATTCAAAGTATCCCTAATTGAACTCATCTTTTTCTTGAAACCTGTTTTTCTTCCTGTATTTCCAATCTTAGTGCATCATATCACCATCTATTTAGTCATCCAAGACAGAAACTACTCGGTCAAAGCCTTTTCTTTTCTTTTCTTTTTTAGTCAGAGTCTCACTCTGTCATCCAGACTAGAGTGCAGTGGCACACCCACAGCCACCCCAGGGTTAACCTCCTGGTCTCAGACAATCCTTCCACCTCAACCTTCCAAGTAGCTGGAACTATAGGCACACGCTACCATACCCGGCTAATTTTTTTTTTTTTTATTGTAGAGATGAGGTCTAGCCAAGTTGCCCAGGCTGATATTGAACTCCCAGAGCTCAGGCAATCCTCTTGCCTCTGCCTCCCAAAGTGCTGGGGTTACAGGCTTGAGCCACCGTGCCCGGCCGTCTTTTCTTTTTTTAATTATTAAATTTATTTTATTATAGAGATATGAGGTACAAGTAAGGGTTAACTACACAAGTAGGTTGCATGCAAGTGAAGCCTGGACCTCCAACTGGCCTCACTTCCCTGGTATAGGACCATAGGACCAGGTACCCTTTGTGTTGTTACATGCTGCTCCCCTCCAAGTCTTTCCCCTTGTTCTCTAAATCCAATTGGTCTTGGAAGGCTGAGGCAGAAGGATCACCAGAGAGACTCCAACTCAAAAAAAAAAAAAAAAATCCAATTGGTGACCAAGTCCCATTGGTCTTATACCATCATTTCTTTTGTTGTATGTCCTTTTCCACTGCTTAGTTCAGCTCTTCACCAGCCCTCACCTGATCTACTGAAATGATGATCTAAGTCTTTGCTGACCTGAATCTTCTTTCTTCTTAATTTTAAAAAGTGATATATGGCTGGGTGTGGTGACTCAAGCCTGTAATCCCGGCACTTTGGGAGGCCGAGGCGAGAGGATTGCCTGGGCCCAGGGATTTGAGACCAGCTTGGGCA